TGAATTGTTTTCGCAGTTTTCCCTTCCAGAAAAAAGAATTGAATCACACTACGAATTCCAATTTTATCCATTTTTCACTGTCACTCGAAACACTTCCGTTTAGCAATTGTCAAACGACAAATTTCTGTCGGAATGACTTGCGACCATACAATATTCATCCGTAGGGAGGACATTTTATGACCGTATATAAGATGTCGCTGTCGCCCTCTATTAGTAAGCGTACCAAGTTACTTATCAAACTATCCTTGTACATCACAGACTCGAACCGAACTGACACACACGTAAGTATAATAACTCGCGTCGATGTTGACTCACATATACCTCATTTTGTATTTGAGAAACAGATTTATAAAATTACATTCAATAAAAAAATTAAAAAATAAAATTATTAGTAGTATGAGTAATTAATTTATCTCTTCCCCGCTTTTTCATAATTATTGAAACTGTATAGAGTAGCTAATTTTGGCCATGTTAAATGAGTCACGATTTACACAAGCTCGAGAAATCTTTTTAAACTATTAAATATATAATAATTAAATATAAATAAATTTGTTTTCGACGCCTCATCTATCTTTAAAAATTTTGCAAAATAAAGGGGAATTAGTCGTTTAGTAAGTAATGTAGAAATTCTACAAAAAGAAAATTTACTAAAAAAATTCACAATTGCATTTCTAGTAAAAATGCTAAATGTATTATTACAACTTTCTTATGTCAGAATTAATTGCATCTCATGACTTTACTTTAATATTTTTTTACATTTATTAAAACTTATGTGTCTGACCTAACAATATCTTGAAATTTGAAACAAGACAGACTATATTTACACGGCATACTTAATTTGGTTTAATAACATTCATAATAACGGATGTTATTAAACTCGCTTAAAGGTGTAGTAAACGTAATCATAGATTTTAATTTAATCGAAAAACTAGTCATCTAATTTCAACTCAACAGTACACTTTAATTACACGCACAATAGCATGAAAATCTTTGCTGTTTGCAACATGACTTAAGAATTATTGATGAATTGAATTGAATTTTTACATGGAAAAAATTTATAAAGAGACTGGGAAAGAGAGAAATCATTTTTTTGTCAAGTAAAAAACATAATATATGTATTTTTTATCTTAGTATGTACCTATATATACACTAATAAAAATGGAAACTGTCTTACGATCTAATGATGTTATAATAAGCAATAATGATATAATACTTAAACGTAAACGTAATCATAGATTTTAATTTAATCGAAAAACTAGTCATCTAATTTCAACAGTACACTTTAATTACATGGAAAAAATTACATGCACAATAGCATGAAAATCTTTGCTGTTTGCAACGACATGACTTAAGAATAATTGATGAATTGAATTGAATTTTTACATGGAAAAAATTTATAAAGAGACTGGGAAAGAGAGAAATCATTTTTTTGTCAAGTAAAAAACATAATATATGTATTTTTTATCTTAGTATGTACCTATATATACACTAATAAAAATGGAAACTGTCTTACGATCTAATGATGTTATAATAAGCAATAATGATATAATACTTAAAACATCAAACATACCTTTTAGCTTGAAGCTTCAAATTATAGCTATTTAAACAATGTTAACTTTAAAACAATTACATAATGTATATTTAAATTTACTGTTGCATTACAATAAGATGGTATATAATTATTTGTTACATTTAATCTCTATTTGTGCACAATTGGTGCCACAATTGTTATTAACTGTAAGGTTTTTTGTAGAACATCATTTTAGAAAGATTGTAAGTTGTAGCCAAGTATTACTATTTGATTGAAATAACTGTCTGAAACTGAAGTAACTATTTTATAAACAATTAATCCAAACAATAATTCTCTTTTATTCAGGCATAAAGTGTAAGTTTATCACATTGTCAACATATAGTTCTTTTTCAAAATGTACAAACTTTTTAGATCTTATCGAACGAAAACATCAATAATTATATGAAAGGTTATTTTGCGCAGCATTTTTGGAGTTATCTAAATATATGTATTTATATATATATATCAAGTGTGTACTTTTTCTTCTTCATCTTCTTTCCAGGTACTACATTTATCATTTAAATTGTTATACCATGCTAATTTATCGAATTATCAGCAGTAAATCATTTTTCACATCACTTCCATTCCACCATTTTGCGTGTTCTCTGTAAAACCTAGTGTAGATGTGGGTGCATCTTGCGATGTATCTTCTAATGCTGGTGCATCCATGCTTTCAGGAAGATTGTTTGCTGTTCCAGTCGGACAGTCGTCCCAATTTATTTTAAATCGAGTCACACGCGGTTTATCACCTAGTATGTTTCTCTGAACTTTATCAAATTGTGGTTGCGGAGGTGGATTCTCCCGGAGTTCTGGATCTGTATATTCATTATTTATAAAGTAACCCACGCGAACAAATTCATGGCCTCTGTATGAACAAGTCAGCAACACAACTGTTACGCCTAAAGCATCATTGACTGGAATCCTACTAACATCAGGTGGATCAGCCTAATGATAGAAGAAAAGACAATAATCAGCAAATATGAATTATTGTTACTAAATTAGATAATTTACAATGTGAAACATTAATACCGATTAATTCATGATATCTTACCTGAAATACAAACATATGTCTTCCTTCAGGAATTGGACCAACATAAATAGTATCTAGGACTTGATCAAACTCCTCAGATTCTGCACTGCCCACATATATCATTTTCCATTCCAAATCTTAAAGAATATCAGTATTGTTTACCAATACATTTCCTTTTTTCTACATATATATATATATACACACATACGTATGTGTGTGTGTGTGTAAAAAAATTGATATGTAGAATGTTAGACATGCATATAAAGAATTGAAACAACTAAATTGTAAAGAAGCTTGAATGACAAAAACTTTTATCATATTAGAATGAATCTTTCCATCGTAAAAAAAATTTGTTTTACAATCGCATACATTACAGAACATTTGTGAATAGTTGGATCATTGGTGTTGTATCATCATGGCAATTGGAAAATTAACCTAAAGACTAACACGCACTCAAAGATGCCAGACGAATAGAATATAAAGTAACAACGTCACCGTGCGGAATCATATTCGCAAAATCGAAATTCGTACCTTCCTTTAATTCTTCGATGCACTCAAAAGTGACTTCAAACTGGAACGGATTCAGAAACGGCGAAGGATTGTCCAAGACAGCGACGTTAGCGAGTTGAACCTTAGCCATGATATACTCCAAAAATTTAAGAAATTTAAGCGACGAACCAGTCTCAATGAGCACGCAGAGACGATTCCGTGGTACAACGTGACAAAACGTGTAACTCGCGCACGTTTGTGATTATCTACGCTACAGCCGTTGCATGTACGTCCGAAAGCCGACAAGTAAACAACTTCATCGCAGTGAGCACACAGGGCAGTTTGGCGGCAAACGAACCAAAGTACGCTTCCGGTGCATTCCGGTGATACTGCGCGAGCATTGAAAAATGACTGTTTATTGTCGAAATCTAATATACATTACGATGGACGTGAGTACGATAAGAAATTTGCGCCAGAATTTTAGAGTAACATGCACACGAAGTGATACTACATTTTTCCGCTACAGCATCGAGTCCTATGTGTTTATTGTGCGTTGCTTATCCTGTGTGATACGGGGTTAATGGAATCCAAGAAGATGCATAAGTATCACGTTTAAATCATAATTTAGACAATTGGAGATGTCAGTAGGATTTGAAAATCCTGATTTCGTGAAAATAATTGTAACGAGCTACATGTGGCTATTCGAATTTTCGCAAATTTGTTTCGAATTAGATCAAGCGCTTATCTAAAGTATCATTGGGCGCGTTCAAGTTGGACAAAGTGGCTAGCCTGCTCGCCGAGCAATTGAATGTGATTGGTTGGATCTATGAGTAACAACCAATCATGTTTATTTGCTTAGCGAGCAGACTAGAGATGTGTCCAAAAGCACGACCGCTCACCGAGCGCACAGTGAGCTCTTGTATGTATCTGTTTAAGGCCGACTTATGGCTTCTGCACACAGAACGCGGCAACGCTTGCCGCACGGCGGAAGTTGTCGCTCTAGTCTTATATTCTATTGGCTTCTGCACACTGGACGCGGAAACGCTTACCGCGCGGCAAAATGTAATGCGGTAGCCAATAAGCTTACAGCTCCTAATGTGGTCATTGGTTATCGCATCTCATTTTACCGCGCGGCAAACATTTCCGTGTCCAGTGTGCAGAGCCATTAGTACAGAGACGAACCACATCTACTTTCGACGATACGATTTTATCGATAGCGTCAGAAAATGTATGTAGTCACGTAGTTCCCAAACTGAAAATGGACGTACTGGCGGTAGAGGCCTGGTGTTTTCGACGGTAACAGGAAAAAGGCCGGCATGGCCTCTCTCAAGTTTCTCTCTGCTTCTAGCCTGCTCGATGAGCGATTGAATATAATTGGTTGGCTTTATAAGTAACAACCAATCATATTCATTTGCTCGGCGAGCAGCCGCTTTATTGACTTGACCGTGCTCTATGTTTACATATTCTATGTTCGTGCCATTTATTTTTATTAGTGTAATATTTTGAAATGTTCATTGTATACTTTTGTTCTTTTAATAGATGAGCTTGTTATTCATGTTAAAGTGTATTTCAATCTGATTATTTTAGATATACATATTACGTATTTAATATTTTTTACTGTGATTTCGCTGCGATTTTATATCTCTTCTTTATTCTTATTTATTTATAATTAAGTTTTGCATTTGTTCTTGAAAAATATAAAAGAATGGAAGAGGAAGAGTTATTACTGATTATAAAATTTGTGTAACTTATACACACTTTTGTATACTTATAATTTTATGGTGTATTGTGCATTGAAATCATGACAGGTAAGAAAAAGAGGTTAGTATATCTAACTACCGAATTTTGACAATCTACATTTTGTGTTTCTGATTGCAATTGCATTATAATTTGTTTATTTTTTCTAGGTGACATCTGCCAATCAATAATACCATTTTTCCAATTTGGAGACTTCTCACAGTTATTCCAAAAATTCAAGAATACTGATCATGAAGAATTTTATCATTATACAAGAATGATGCCTGATAGATTTGATTAACTTTTGGAAAAGACAAAACCCTATCTGTTTAAAACATAGCAGGAGACATTCTCATCAGAATTGAGACTGGCTGCCATTCTGGGTAAGTACACAATATTAGAGAAACCTTACATGGTTACTATCAGTATTATTGACAATGATCTGAATTTGTGGGTACTGACAGTTTGACCATGTAAGGTCTGTAATGTACATAAACTGAGCTCAAATTTTATCAGTAATATTGATAATGTAAGGTTATAAAAATATTGATGTATACTGTCACTATTTTACTAATTCAATAGTAATGATTGCTATTATTCATTATATAAAGTTTGCTTAACAGTAATTTCTTGGTCAGTAGTTTTTTGATCAATATAAAAAGTTTATCCTAATATTATTCTCTCACTGTGTTTCAGATATCTTGTTCAGAAAGATAGTGTAGGGTCAAAGAAGTGGTCTTTTTTTGTTGGTCATTCAATATTAATAAGATTATCCCTGAGATATGTGATGCAATTATGAAAGCTCTACAGCCAATATATTTACTACTCATGACAAGAGAGGATTGACGTAATGTAGTTGATGGATTTTATAAGAAGTAGAATTTCCGTAATTGTATAAGGGTACTTGGTGTAAGAATCTAGGCTCCAAAAACTCAAGCTGTCTCTTCAATAGCAAGAAATTTTTTTCAATTGTTCTCATGGCAATCTGTGATACAGATTATGTTTTCAAAAGGGTGGACTATGGTACGTATTAGTTCAGCATAAATAGTGATATTTTTAGTAACTGACCGAACTGATTTTATAGATAAAACTATTAATAAAGGCCAATGAGAGCATAATCGCAGTCAATAAGCATATACATTCATATTTCCTCAATACATTCTTACATATAATACATTATATTAAGATCTTGATGAGAGCACAGGACTAACGCATTTACAAAATGTAAATAATTCTTGAGATTAATCTATGTATTACAATTTGTAAAGAAACATTCCTGGTTGAATTGTTACAAAACTGTCGAGACAGAAAATTATCTACCTTGAAATTTAGAATCATTATTTTCGCTAGGAATTTCATTCTTCTCATCTTTATTATAATTCTTTAATAGTTGAATATGGCTTAAAATCTAAAACGTCTGCCTAGAGAGTCACTGTAATATGTATAAGAATGTATTGAGTAAGTATAAATGTACATGCTTATTGCAATTACAGTGTTGTTCTAATTTTAATTAAGCCTTGTTAATAATTTTGTTTTTAAATATGCCTTTATAATAAATAGGCCTCTCACCTGCAAATAATGGCTGTGTTCAGCAGAAAAAGCAGTTGTAACTGTTGTAAAATTCTTTAATATGATTGGTCTTGCCTTTAGTTCCTTATTAGATCTAAATGTATAAACCAATCATATTTAAGAATTTTACAACAGCTGCAAAGCTGTTTTTTCTGCTGAACACAGCCAATGGCTGCAGCAAAGAAAACTAATCAGTTAGCGCTTAGTGATTCTTTAATACGATTGGTTCCTACACTTAAATTTTACGAGAAATTACAGGCAAGAACTAATCATATTAAAGAATCACTAAGCCCTAACTGATTAATTTTCTCTGTTGAACGCAGCCATTATTAAAGCTTATTTCTGTTAAGCCATTAAAAAGATTTACGCAGTCTCCTCATGAGATGAAAAAATAAAATGGTTTTATAGGCGATCCCACTTACAAAAAATTACTCATACTAACGGTATTACTCCTAATAGCTTACGGTATGTGGAAGGTTTATAAATCGGGTAATCCTTTCAGAATTATTGTTTCATCTATTAATAATCTGTTGTATAATTTTTCTCTTTTATGCTACATTAGATTAAATGTAGTATTCTAGAGACACGCTTTCACATAAAAAATAGCTTCCTCTTAGTCAAACTTAAGGGGATGCTGCACTTACAGAACGCTCATTCCATATTTTTCATACATTTTGTTTTCCTTATATAGAATAAAAAAATTTTCCAGAATAAAAGAAAAAACGCAAATAGCGCTCTAGGAAAGTGCAAACCTGCATGAAAATCCCCTAAAAATTGTAAATTACAGTTTCCTGTTATCTACTGTTACCACGTAGGTTATTTCTTAACATATATAAAACTAAATTCGAGTATATATCCAAAGGAAAAGTACTTTCTCACATTTGAATAAATTATAAGAACATCATGAGACCTTCAAATTATGATTTTGAAGCTTACAAGAAAAATGACAGGAAAAGTACAATTTGAGTATATATAATGCATTCATGCGATATGTAGGATATAACAGAACAAAAACTGTAGTCGACTGTCGCTCCAGCGTCCCCTTGGAATGGAATACATTTTGAACCTTATTATTCACTGGTTTCTTTGGACGTCATTTCCCTGTGTACTAATGTCCCCATAGATTTGGTTATTAAGGAAATAATGGAGAGATGGGATTGTAGTTCGAGCAACATAAAAATACCTAGGGACGAATTCTTAATTGCGATTCGATTTACACTTAATTTGATCGTTTTCTCGTTCAACAAGAATTTTTATAAACAGATTTTTGGCACATCAATGGGTTAGTCGCTTTCTCTTATAATTTCGAACATTGTGATGCAAGATATAAAAGCACTGGCAATTAAATTATTACCTATTCGCTTATCATTTTACTTCCATTCTGTTGGTTACTCCGAGAGTTTTTGAATACAATATTGAATATTTTGTTAAAACTGCATAACGCTAACAATTTTACCGATTTAAATGACCTTGACATATGCGTCATATGTTATCAAGATCATGAGTGATTTCAAACAAATTTTAATCGCTCGTTACTTGTTAAAAATTTATTAACCAAAAAAGTTTGAAAAATGATGTCTCTTTTCTGTTATGTAAAGCAAAAATTGTTTAAAAAGTATATTTTACAACTTTCTATGCGAAGCAAGTTCATTTCACCTTTCCCCCTGCAAGGGGCATATAGCTTTCTGGGAAGGAGAGTGTAATATCTAGTCAATTATTCTTCTCACATTCGACTGTGATAGATCAATTTCTTCTTACTCTGTGTATTGTAGACGACGCATAACATACTACGTTATACGCGCGCGCACCCTATCCGCTATCTGAGGAATAGGAATTCCCTTCCATTGGAAATTGATCAATTAGATAGAAATGAATTCGTATGGTTATTACCGAATCCAAAATTCTGATTTTTTAGATACTGGGGTCCTCAGTCTGGGAAATTAGAGTTCATGTAATTCAACGTGATAATGCTCTCTCACCTTATTCCGATAGTTTGTCGAAATTAGCTGTTTCAACATATTGTAGCAAGCATCGTCACAGCAAATTTATTGCATTTGGTTATTTAAGGCAAGACAGGATAGGCAAACATTTTGCCTATCCCAAAGGTTGCCTAGAAAATTAAACACACGTTTCATAAATCCATCATCTTAACATCATTGCCATATAAGAAAGAGCAAGTAAATGTTGAAACTAAGAAAAAATGTTTAAAAATTAGTAGTACAAAAACGACTTGTTTTGTCTAAAAAAGAAGATACCTCATTTTGTCTTCCCTAAGGACAAAACAGGGCAACTGACATGTCTCTGTTTACACTAATAATTTCAAATATTTAACATACTTAAAAAGATTTATTACTATATTGTGATTCAATAATTTTTTTTGTTCTTCGTATAATAATAGTCATTTGTGTAAAAAAATTTAGTATTACTTATTATAAAATGTTTTTGTTCAAACACATTAAGTGTACCTCACGCTCCCCTACCTATAGATATGACATACCGTTTGATACATCTTCATGATATATAAATTGTAAAAATTTTACATTAGAAAACACAATGTTTGCGTAGAGAGGCCTCAAAGTAAACCCTCATAAGATTATTCTTAAAGAAATGACGCGTAATTTTCCGATATAATTTTATAAAAAAGAATTTAGACAATGACATAGCCTTTATATGGTAGTATGCCTCGTTATCAAACATTAGATAGTTTAAATAAAATCTTGTAAACAGATTTCATTTTTTGTCTCATTTTATCGTACTACAAAAGCGCCGCTTTCTTCCGCCCCCATTATGTAGACACCGTCGATCGTAGAACATTAAAAGGAATCGGTGAGTTGTTAATGCAAAAATGCAAAGATATACAATATGACGAGGTCATTATTTGAAAAGTACAGTTGAACTTCGGGTGAATTGTTGCCTGGGTGAGTTGTTTGAGTAATAAGAAACGAAAGGTTCGCGCAGGGGCTGTGAGGATCCTGGGAGTCGAGCGGTCTTTGATCAAGTTACCAGCACATTCCCCATCTAAACGCGCGTTGATATCTTATGAATATGGAAAATCCGTAGTCGAGATTACCATTATGCGTACTACATTATTTGATTGTCTTCCTTTAAGCCAATATCGAATACAAAAACTAAATCTTTAATCGAAAAGTCGGATGGCTATGTTCGCATGTATATGTTTCCGAAAATTGTTTAATTGAATCTATTCAAACATTATTAATATAATTATATTTTTTAAAAACATATATATGCATTTTGTAGTTATGGAGAAAGCATCGAACTAAAAATTCTAATATATAGAATCCACAAGTGTACACATATCTTATTACATCATATATCCCTTTTATTTCATTTTATCGTCTTCTTTTTTATTGATTATTATAAAATTATAATTTATATATTATTAGTATATTAATATTTATGTATATTAGTATATTTATATATTTAGTTATGTATATATAACGATCAGATATATCTAAGTCATTAATAAGTAAACACAAAAGGGAGGACATAAATTTTGAAAAATTTTATTATTTGTGAAACAACAAAGGATTAAATTCTGCAAGTAATGCGAATAGCAGCTACAGTAAAAAATTAATCTATTTAAGTTACTGTTCGTTAAAATTATAAAGCTATTAAAATTCATAAAACTATAACTGACCGAAAATCACAGTAAGTACAAGTCAGCTAATTATTTAATATTCCAAAGTACAATAATTATAATTCAAAATTACATATGGTAATAATGAAATAAAAAGCAATGTATATCAAGAAAAAATTTAGATCTTTTTATACAGAAGGAAAAAAAATTAAGCCAACTACAATATATTCACTGTTTTGTGTAACTTTCAAAGTAAAAATTAAATTCTCATAGACATGAATTACAGCAAGCAAGTCTATTTGAACTTTTCGAAGAATTATTTGATACTTGAGTTTTTCTACATGTATTTATATGTATTCATGATATACTTATAGTATATCATGAATACATATAAATACATGTAGATAAACTCAAGTATTGGCACTTGCAAATTGGTCTGGAGCTTTTCTAATGAGACGACACTTTAATAACTATAAACTAGGAAAAGAAACAAAGAGAGCGACTTCAGAGAGAGCACGATTCCTTTCTGTCGAGTGGCTCTGGAGACCAAAAAACAATTGCGCGGGCGTCATTCCTTTGCCTGCGATGACTGAACGACGCGTACCGGAATCCCGTAGTCTCTAGAGCATCATCGAAGTGGATAAAATAACAGCGGGGTTAGTTCCAGAGTAGATCAAAGCCGTCCGCTCCGCGGGGGTGGCCGACAACGCGACGACCGAGCGACTGAGAGAGCAGCTCTCCTCGCATTTGTCTATACTTGAGCTCGCTCAAGTGGCATCGACTCTCAAAAAAGGAATGAAGAACGACCTCAACGACGGATTCATGCGTGAAACGATGCCACTGCAAACAATCTCGTAATTTGTTTAGGTATAACAATCCGTCTCTCGGTTCCATTCTAATCCTCCATTCTTATAGCGAGATTATCGCAACGTTTTAGGACATTAGCCACATATCTGATATTCACGAAGATATTTGATAAAAGAGTTCGCAATATTATATGTGAAAATTAATTAATCTCATTTCATCCAATTTTCCATATAATTAGTGTGGAGTCCTTTATATATAAATATTTTCTGCAATTTCAAATTTTGATATTACTTGAAATTGTGATAATTTTCAATCTTGGCACTGCTGGTATATGATTAGCCGGAAATTACAAATATGTGAGGTAGTCTTTATTTTTCCGTGTTCATTGTTTGGATTTCACCCTCCTGAAATCTCCTATAACATAATAGAATGCGGGATTGTAGATGATTAGCTATTAACACAATAATAGATGACGCGACGTAGATATGAAAGTCTCTCTTGAGGGAAGTGAAGACCATTATCTCTCAATCGTGTCCTTTACTATCGCATTCGAGAACTGCCACTTTTTATTGAATTTATTACTTAAACTCTAATTCTATTCCTAATGAACTTTTTATACTTTTATTAATGACAACAAAGTATTTATAAAATAATAAAATAAAATCGGTATGTTTTACATAAAATATAATAAAGTATATTATATTATTAAAGACAAATATAAATAAAGAACTATTCAGGATTATTATAAAAATTATTAAATTGAGTGACTGCCATCTATCGGATAGATAATTGTAATAATAAACAAATTTAACGTGAGTACACATGTTTACACACGCGCACACACACGCACACAGGTTTATTCAATGATACTTTATTTTTATATAATAATACGAAATTAATATTGCATTAAAATAAAAACACTTTTAGAAAATATAAAAATACATGAGATTCTTTGTATCATTTATACATTATTTTTGTACTGATGGTTCTAATTACTGGTATATTTAATACAATGCGTGTTTATTTCTTCACGCCTTTAGCAAGTTTTATTTCTTTTATTACTGAGATATCAGTAGAGTGAAAGATCTCTTGCCTCAGGGGGTTGAAGTGTCAGATTGGATAGACAATAAGCATATTATCTTGTAGGATAATCAGCCAATCACTACGAAATTGATGTAGCGGCGTCGTACCGTGATCCTCTTAAGGACAGCTTTTTCGAGAGTGAACGGAGTTCGTTATCGTGATTTAATTC